AATGAAATCTTTAGAAATGGCTATTTTGAATTAATCGATTAAATCGATTTATCGCCCAGCCCTATGCGCTAGTTAACCGTTTGTGGATTTAGAGTTGGCAAAACCCAACGTAAAAAGAAGCTAATCATTTCCATAATGTTTTTTAAAGTGAGTGGAAAAGCTAATCTGTTAAATGAATAAGTTGACCACTGTTAGCTAATTAGCAGAACTACGCCCAACACTGGATATAGACTATAACTATTTATACCTGTGCTAGTTAGCCTTTAGCTGACTTAAATTTAGAAAAAATTTATTAAGTAGAAGCTAATTTGTCCGCTAATAGGTATAGACTGTACCTAGTCTATACCCATTTATATTTATTTATACTTAGTTGGCTAGTTAGCTGTTAGCACACTTCAACTCAATTTAGCGAAAGCTAATTAATCTATTAACATTTTTCAAAGTTGATGAAAAAGAATCCACTAAACAAAAATTTAGTTCAGCTATTAACTATTAACTGATTAGCGGAACCATGCCCACCACTGGGCATAGATTTTACCTATACGTTTTTATACCTGTGCTAGTTAGCTGTTAGCGGACTTAAAGTTGACAAAACCTAATAAAGAAGAAGCTAATTGGTCTGCTAATAGGTATAGACTATACCTAGTGTGTAAGTATTTATACTTAACTATTCATACTTAGTTAGCTAGTTAGCTGTTAGCGGACTTAAAGTTGACAAAACCTAATAAAGAAGAAGCTAATAGGTCTGCCAATAGGTAAAGACTATACCTAGTGTATAAGTATTTATACTTAACTATTTATACTTACTTAGCTAGTTAGCTGTTAGCAGACTTAGACCCAATTTAGCGAAAGCTAATTATTCCGCTAACATTTTTCAAAGTTGGTGAAAAAGAATCCACTAAACAAAAATTTAGTTCAGCTATTAGCTGTTAGCTGATTAGCGGCACCATGCCCACCACTGGAAGCTAAGAATCAACACAAACACGAACTCGAGTTTCTATTGATCTTCTGCTTGTTAGCAAAATATCTCATACACCAGTGGACTGATTTAAATGAAACCCACACAGCTGACTGACTCAGAACAGGATGGCAGGTACTGAGCTGAAATTAGGGCGTGGCTCTGGTGGCCATCTTGAATTAAAAGGCTAATTGTTCATGTTTATTTTAGGAAACGTTGGAGGCGGAGCAGGCTGTTCCTGCAGGTTGATGCGTAGGGACCTCACAGCATGTAGGTGTGTCTTTTCTTAAATAGCTGCTGTTACTGGGTGCCTGTGTCGTTGGAAGACATTTCTTTGTTTTTAAACTTGTGAAGTTTTCGCCTCACCTGCTTCTCGTTCTCGTCCTCCAGCCTCAGACGCTCCTCGATGCAGTTGCGGGCCTGCAGGAAGACCTTCCTCTGGGTCCGCTCGGTCAGGACCCTCACGAACACCCCCGACAGGTTAACGCTGGTGAAGAGCACGGCGTTGGCCACCAGCTGCGCGCGCACACACACACACACACACACACACACACACACACACACACACACA